AACCACCCAGTCGACCTTTTACATAATGAACCCACTGCAGCTTGCGCGCAAGTCCCTCAGCTTGAAACCTTCACGTGGAGGGGCGATCGGGGAAAGGCTACAGCCTCCCGCACGCCGAGACAAGGTTGCTCTGGAAAATCAAAAAGGGGGCTGAAACAGACAAACCAGAGTGCTTGAAGCCTTCAAAACCCTGGAACAGCTACCCTTACTCCTAAACCCAAAAAAGTGAATTGCTTTCTCTTACTGCAGTGCCACTGCTCCAAATGCTCAGAGTTTTCCATTCTTCTGGTGGTTTGGAGTGTGTTGTGAATCTCACGCTACATTGCCAGTATTGCTCCTAGGCCAAGACTGTTAGCACGCTACAGGCCTTCTGTAGATCGCCCTCGGCGTTACAGCAAAGAGTTTGACCCGCCTTCCCAGACCCGTTCATTTGAATCTTTAACTTCAGCCCTACACCCAGGCAAGATTGTGAGAAGTGACTGGCCTTCATTTTTTGTAGCAACACTGTGTCGCTAGCCTTGGCCCGTCAGCCTGAGCCCGCAAGGATCACGAACGCGGACTCGTTAGTCCTACAGCTTTCGCCTTTGCAACCCAACAATCAGGGAAAACCCGCTGGCTTCCATTGATGATGCGCTCTTGCATAAGCCCCCTTTCAGACGGGCAAGCCCAGACTCCGAAACCTCATATTTGCAATTTCAGCAACAAGCCTAATCACGTTGTGATTAACCCCGGCCCGCTGAGTCCTGCTTTTTTCACAGCGGGCCTTCACCAAAAAAACGCGACATTGGTGGTTGGCCCAGCGATCCTGCTTTTTTGCACAATGGTTTCACAGGGGACGAAACAGACAGAGCCAAAGTGCTTGAAGCCCTGCAGCGTTCAAACTCCCAAACAATTATTTGCAGAGCAGCCCAAACACAAAAATGTGTTCGCTTTCTGTTTGTTGTGGTAGGTGTGGACATGAGCGTTCCACACGAAGATTTTGTCCCAAATTGCGGTACCCATTTCTTGTTCCCAAGAAGCTGAGACATGACCGTTTCTTCCTCAATTGAGCTGTAGTCTAAACTCCTTAAAAAGGGTCTTATAGGCGATCATATGAGGGACTACTATAATTGTAAGGGTTATTCAAGGGGATACTAGGAGTTTAGACTATAGCTCAATTGCAGTTTTCCGTGTATTGCTCGTGAGGGGCTCAAGCATGTTTGCGTTTGGTGCAGGGCCATGCGTCGGGAAGCGCCAAATGTCGAAAATTGTGGTTTGCATTGATGACGGCATACATGCTGTTACACATTGATGTAAGTTTATGTCATCAACGCAATCCAATCGCATGTTACGACTTGAATGAGTATTGCGTGCGCTTCACTTCGGCCATGAACATTCGTGAAAAATGCGGATGCTGCCAGTGGATGTTCCCGGATGGCAATTGGCTTGTTCGGGTATGTCTGCTGGATTGAACGGACGCCTCGCTCCATCAGTTGGATGTTCATGCATTGAACTTCGCTCCGCAGCGTTGAGGTGTTGCAATCGAAGCCGTCGGGTTGCAACTATATCATGCCAACAGTGAGGCATGCTCGACAGCTGCTTGATGGACATCGAAAGGATTGTGTTTGCCTCATTGCATTGAGTGGAGAAGTGCTACCGTTTTGCATTTCGGCAGTGCTTGTGAGAGGCACGGTGCAGTAAGATGATGTAAGTTTGTTTTGGTTGTGCGGCGATGAATCTGCGTGTGAATGTGGATGCTTCTCAAGGCGTGGATCACCAACTTTATTTCGAGGTTGGCTCCCTTCGTGCATTGGTGCTTGTTCAAAGTTTTTGTGTATAGCGTATTATGAGTTAGTATTTGGATTTAGCGGTATCTGCATAGATTTGATGATGCGTGCATTTTTTCAGGCTGCGTTGGCGGAAGCTCGGGTGAAAGAGTGTGGGGCTCAGATGTGACGTTGTGGAAATTGAGAATTCTTCCCAAAGGCTGCGTGTTGCGTGGTTGTTTTGCAGTTCAGACGCTACCAGGCTGACACGTTTGGAGCGGCTGTGGCAGCGTGAGGCGGGATTTTTTCATGCCGGTTTGTGGGAGTTTTTGCCTGCGAACTGATAGCTCAGGATGCCAGGGTTCGGGAATCCGCCTTTGCTCAAAGCGCTTTGAACATGTAAGAGCGTAGCAAGATTGTATCGTCGGAATGATGCCGGTTGTGCATATCGCTGGCCATGTTGAATGCCGAGTCATTTTATTGTACTGAAATAGCATCAAGGTACAGATGATAAAGGAAACTGCCGGTAAACAATGTGAGGCAGGTAAACTGTTCGCGCCCGAGAGGGCATGATGAGGTGCACTTGGCAGAAAGTTGTTCGCCGTTGGTTCCGGCGAGCATGCAACACGACAAAACTGCAAAGCAAGCTCGCTCCCTGGGCCTTAGGCTTGGAGCCAAAGCTTTAAGAATGTTGGACGAGAAGCAACACACTGAGACCATTTCATAACCTGGACAGATACTTGCTGTCGTGCACGCAGTTCTATTCCAAACGCCATGGCCAGACGATTCTGCCCAGCATTGTTACTGCCAGCGGCGGTTTGTGCTGATTGCCCGGCAGGCGAGACGGTTTTGATTTCTAGCTGGGGCGGGGAGGCGAGAGAATGGGTTTTGCGATCAACGAAATTTCGGCTGCAGGTGCAAAAGGAGGCAGCTGTTTGACTGTCCTCCGTGATGCTTCGTGTCTCGTCCTCAAATGGAATTCTCCGTCCTGTCCCACTCCCGTTCAATCCCAAGATCAGTGTAGAATCCTCAATGTGGTATTCAGCGCAGGTTAGTCAAAGGTACAGTATTCTGATTGATGCATACGGCATCATGCACGTTAGATGCTTCATGTCTTCCGCAAAACTACCCTGGGATTTGCAAGCTCAAGCCGGGACGGGGTATTCGCACGGAAGGCAGATAAGCACGTGGGCAGCGCGATCCTTGATTATTTCTTTAATCGTTGCCCAAACCTGCCTTGCTCTGCTTGCCCGGCCCAGGACTAATGAGCGGTTGTTCGGGAAACCTGCACACGACAATTTTTGCAGCTTTGCCTATGTGGCGTGGTCAGCACACGCTTGCGCATGTCCCCAGGTTGTCGTATTTGGTAGCTGCCAGCATTGAAGGGTCGGTTCTTTGGGGTTGAAACACCTGTGACTTTGCAAGTCAGCGAGGTCCATGATTTTTTTCTTCGAAGCTTCAGCTGAGAAATCCTAGAGTCAGTTTCTTTGATCCGAAAGCTTGAGGCACACCAATGGTCTGACCGACCTTGCTGACTCTGCCAAATGCTCAGGTGTGCTTTGGGCTGACTTGTCCATTGAAGCCGGGTGCCCCTGAATTCCCACTGCTGCCGCTACCAGCCGAGGAGGTGCTCTTTGCAGTGCTTTGGATATAGATCAGAGCAAATTTTGCTCCGGGCCAATGAGGGTGCCAAGGAAGTCCGAAACCTCCTGTTTGTGCAAAGTGTTGCCACAGTCAGGAAGTGCTTGAAGATAGTTTTTTTGAGTTTTTTCTTCCATTTTAGTGTTTCTCTGCTCTTGATATGGAAAGGAAACGGAAGACCATTTCAAGTCAAGTGGTGAGAAAATGTTCCTTGCATCAGTAGAAGGCAAATCAACTTCCAAGGCGGAGGAGGGCACTTCCACGTGCTCCAAGCTGATGGACAACAGCTGTGCTGCAGCCTATCAGCAGGCTGAGCTTGATTGCGCACGTGACCCTCACAGCAGGCCAGCCGATGGATCCTTTTGCAAGATGTGCCGCTCAGTTAAGCAAAGATGCTTGAATGAAGATGGCAATCCATGGTTCCTCGTTGCAGCACATCTTGAGTCTTTGGTATAGTGAAGCTTGGGAGTCGCATGCTTGCATGAGAAATCAGCACGGCAACGCGAATTGCAGGAACGTTTGGGATGGTGCCAAGCAGGGCCTCTGCCCGAGATGTCAGAAGCACCTTGCCGGGCATACCGCAACTGTCAGGATTGATCAGTCACGCCCAGGAGTGCAAAGAACTTGTGGGTTCTAACTGAGGCTTGTGAAGGCATACCACTACTTGACCAGCCTTTGCAAAACCGGCGGAGACTTCTCCATGGAAGCCCTCAAAAGGCATTTCTTGGAGAGGCCTACCTGGCAAGAAAGGGACAGTAAATTGCCACAGCTACCATCATGAGATCAAGTTGATTTTCTGATGATGCGAAGTTGGCAAGGGCACACCATGTGGAAAGGAGTTGTTCATGCTTCCGAGCGGCAGGTCGGCTGCAGATGCGATGTGGCGATCTGACTTGACTGCAGATCTTTGACGCAAAAGCTGGTTGCTTTGCAGGGTTTCCATGACATGGAACCCAAGCATGCCGAAAGTGCTTCCCTGCCATTGCATGTGTGCAGGAAATCATTATTATGCGCAGCGTTGATTTTCATCCAGGGTTTCAAAGCTGCTGAAGACACCCTGGACAATTTAAGTTCTTGTCGGAGTCGTTGAAGTTCCTAGCGCTGTCCGCTGAAGAGTCCTTGAGTTCGCTAGTCTCTCTCTCTCTCCCTCCAAGAGAAATGTCAAGTCTTTCTGCGGTTTTGTCTTGAACTCCCTACTCTAAAGCAAGCCGCCTGTTCTGCAAGCCTGACATGTAGGTGGCCACCGGGCGCTTCCTGGCAGAACGTCGCGAGATGGGACGACTCTTTGAGCGCGATGTGCAGGAAACTGCTCACAGTTGCATCGTACCTCGACTGGCACTGCTGCTTTAAAGAATCCAACTAGGCTGGAATGCAGGGCTTCAGGATGCTTGGAAGAGTCGGAATTCGTGAGCCTGGATTACATTCTGGTAGCTCTCAACCTTCCCCTATGCAGTGCGAAGTGTATGGGTGCACTGCTAAAGATTGCGTTGTGCGCTGGAAAAAACCGTCACAGAAGAAATGCTGATTCAAGCGGTAAGCCATCCATCAGCCACATACTGCATCAGAGCAGAGGACCTGCTGCAGAAGGCGCGAAAGTCCTGCAAGGTGCTGAAGGCAGCAGGGTGTTTGCATCCAAAATGGCGATGACATGACGAATGTGCATATGATTTGAGTCGATGTAGGACGAGAAGCGCCGCAGACGAGCGCAGCTGCAGCGGCGACAGGCGACCAGCTGTGAGTTTAGATAGGAAAGAGTCCAGTGATCACTTGGCCCTCTCCAGTGTGCTGACGACAAAACCTTTGCTGCAAGTTTTCAATGTCGGTGACCAAGCTTTGAATGACACAGGAAGGAAGACCTGAGGTCGAGGAGGAAGAGGAGGGAAACCATGAGGAGGCGCCATCTTACTGTTTTTTGTTTGTGCGTGACTCAGCGAAAGCACAAGGCGGAAGAGGAGGCCATGACAGTGGATGACGTTGTGGAGGTGGGCTGCAATGGAAAGTCATGAAGCTCTGATTCTGAAGGCACACTGGCAATCATCATGGGGATGCAGTATTGATAGATATTGGCGCAAGCGCACAGCCGTCTTCCTTCAGCTTGAATTTCCGTCATTTGAGTCAATTAATTGTAGGGTAAAAGAGCATGTAAGCCCGAAGATTGAAGGTGCAAAGCTGGAAGCCGTCGTGTGGAGTAGTGCCCTCATCACATGCATTCTAGGCAAATTCCTATCTTCTGATTCCTAGACCGAAGGTTTGGGCTTTTACTCTGTTAGAAATTTCTGCATGTGGCAATCGGAAGAATTCACACATGTCCCTATACCCCTTGCAGGGTCTTCATCTTTACAAATTGTATCTCGGCACGGAAAGTTACAGCTCCACTTCAAGCAGTGAGCAGCCGGGTTGGCGGTAGCAGTAACAACAACAACAGCAGCAACAACAAGCCCTTGACCGACTTCAGATGTACACGAGCATTTGAGTTTAAGTAGATTGTGTGGAAGGTGCAGGAGGCCTCTGGCGAGAAGTCCGGGCCTCATTGCTGATGCTCATGCTCCTTGCAAACACTCATACTAGTAACTGTTGAGAGTGATGGTGTCATGCACGTTGCTAGGCTTGCATTCGCAGCACAGTGCCGGTAGGACATTGAGCTGTCTAGCATCAGTTTGACGCAAGAGATCATCAGGTTCATACGAAGTTTCTTCTCCTTGTCAACCTTTCCCAGGGAGACCTTGCCCGAGCCTGATGCAGTGAGCAAGCACGTTCTGACCATTATTCTGGCAAGTTCGCAGCCTTTCCTTGATCCCACTCCTGCTGCCACAGAGGGAGTTTTCCAGCTTAGGTGAGTAGCCAAGCATGCAGGGCTCACTCCGACGTGAGGCCGACGGAGAATGTCGCGGAGAAAGACAAGTTCGAGCTTCCAGTGGTGCCAGGAGCCTGGCAACCTCGCTCGGAAGAATTGCTATCCAGTAGACTACGATAGGCTACGTGATTCTTTTCTTCACAGCCTTCTGAATCCCAGGTCTGGGGTTCCACCTCCTGGGGTGCCTCGCCACTCGGTCGAGTCTCTGAAACTGCGTGAGAAGGCGACTGCGTCACTGGGCCCTCACGACTCACGAGACTTGAGCGCCAGCTGAAGCCTTGCAGGCAAGGAAGCTGGCTCTCAAGCAAAGGTATGCTGAGGCCTATTGATAGCATTCCGTTGCGTGCAGAGTTAGCGTAACAGCAGTGCAAGGGTACTGGTTTTGGTCGGATTCGTGATGGCCAACGAGGATGACAAAATCCTCCACCGGTGCTGCACCGTACCCTATGCCGTAGCTTGTGAGCGATCATGACCTACTGCTGCACACACAAGCCGCCGGCAGTGTATGCATGGCATGACTTGGTCACCCTGCCTTTTGCCTTTTATTTGGCAATCCATGTTAGGCTCTTGGCTAGAGGGATGGGTGCCTGGGAAGGCGGCAAAGCTGCAAAAGAAAGCTGAACGCTTGGAGGCCTGTCCCTGGGCACATATGGAATCAACACATGTCAATGACGCCTTTAAGATCATCGACGCTTTCTGTAGCGGTATCTCTCTGACTCAATGGCAGTGGCGGCGTCTGACTGTGCTGATTGTTACTACTTTGTTTTACAGTTGTGGTGACGTCGTCGGCTGTGGTTTTGGTGTGCGATGCGGTTATGGTCGTGTAGCATCATGCGTCTTCAAATGGTTTGGGTGTCTTGTGAGCCTTGGTATTTGCCGTGCCTTCAAGACCGTGTGATGAATCAAGTTCTCAAAGGCTTGTTCAGATCCTGCCAAACACCAGCCCAAAGCTCTTGGCCAAAACTTGGCGCATTGGTTGGCAGTTGGATGCTCAGCAAGTTGCTGACTTTCAACTTAGATGTAGTGCAGTAACCCTCGCTGCTGGCCTTTGCTGGGTCCGTGTCTACTTGCGCAGGCTGAGTGGATTGCCTCAAAGTATCAAGCCTCCGAGAGGAAGGAGACTGTTTGCCGGACTTGAGCTGTGCCCTCTGACTAATGTGAGTAATGTCACGCGCCCCCCCCCCCCCGGAGTGATCTATCTCCGTTTTGGGGGGGCCCGGAATAACAATGCCAAAAATACAGGTTCGAACATCCATTTAGATCGATCAACATCTAATTCAGATCATTGTCCTAAAAACTCACATTTCTTTGGAACGTGCAATTGTGGGTATAGTTATAAGGTATAATTTGTGTTCCGGCGGCGGGATTTCA